ATTAAGATGGAGGGTAGTATTGTCATTGGGAAGATAAGTTGAAATAATACAGAATTTGAAATCATGTTTGAAAAACAGATCAATTAAAAGAGCATAGCCAGAAATAGAAGTTATTTTGTGAATATGAGGAGTTAAAGAGTTGCGGTCCATAATAGCAGTTCCAGCTTTAGAACTATCAGTACATGACCAGAAATATGTCTAGTGTTGGGTTTTGAGAGATTTGGAAGTAAGGTAATTATTAGCAAGTTTGGTTTTAGTAAAACAAATTATATCCAAATTGTTAGATAAGCAGTAATGTTTCCAAACTTGTCATTTGAGGTCTTAGTTAAAGCTATGAATATTGTGAGTTCAAATGGAGAGGTTGAGAGGGCTAGGTGGCCCAAGGTGTTGATAAGATTTTTGTGGTGTTGAGGAAGAGGGTTGTTTCGATTTAAGAGAGGTGTAGCAAAACCAGTTAAGGAGGTGAGAGAAAGGTGAGTGATTAAAATATGGGTATGTCTCATGTAAAAAATAGATACATGCTTTAATATAGTTATGATTATGATCTTTAATATTCAAAATTGAAATTATAATAAGATCTGGTGAGTAATAAAAAGGAAAGTCATATCTGATATATTGAAGAAAAGTAAAGATGATTTGTGAGTATTCTATTGGTGGTAGCCTATAATAAAAAAAAATTTTTTTATAATATGTAAGAGGGTCTATAGGGCCTAGATTCTCAGTTATTTGTGTAATAATTTCGAGTTGAGAATCATCAAGGTTGTGTAATGAGTTATTGTTTAGATCAGAGTCTGGAAGTAGTTTATTATCAGAGTTGAAATCTGTAAGAGGCTGGTCAGTTAGGTTTTGAAAAGATAATATTAGTTGTGGTTCATATGGGGTTAATGATGTTGAAGATGAAGCCACATAGGGAATGTCTTCTACAGCGGTCACCATATACTTGGCTTGTACAGCTCTGCAAGATTTAGAAGCCCTCAGATTAAGCATTAGAGAACTGCCATTATCTGAATCTTCTGGGTAAATAGTTCAAATATGTAGCAAGTGCTTCTAATATGTGTTGATAGTAAAATTATTCTTTGGCCAAGATTATTAGCAGGTATTTTATTATTTATATCTTCTTTAATTATATTAGTAATACCTTGATAGATATCTGCACATAATGTATTTTGGTTTTTATATAGTAGAAATCTTAGTTTATTTTGTTCAGTTGTAGCTTATATATTGAATATAAATTCTTAAAATAATTTACTACTATAAAAAATTGTAAAAAATTTATTATGCTATAGAGATAAGTGAAAAAAGTAAAATCTACTTGAGTAATATGGAATCTACTATTATTATTAAACTTGTTTTGCATATTTACTTATACACAACATAATTTAGAATGCTATTTAAGTTCTCTATAAAGAAAAAATAATATATAGTAAAAAAGATAAATATGCAGAATACTCTTTATAAATTAGTTAAAATAAGCCTTTCTAAAGTCAAAGAATAATATCATGTGTTGAATTATATGACAATTTATATTCAGATAAAATAATTGCAATTTCATTTGCTATAAAGAGATTATAGTGATAATGTTTAGTTAGTTTGTTAAAATGAAGATAGACTATTAAGTCTAAATTATTTATATTATTTTAATAAGCTTGTAATAGTATTTTATATGCTTGTAAATATAAAAAGTAAAATATATAATAGTTATATGAAGCTCTTGTAGTTCTGATATTGTTTGGGTTGATAAATTTTTATTTTACTTTATTCTTAAATGATAAGCTATATCAAAGTTATAAATATATAATTGAGTATATGTTGCTTCAATATTTGAATTAGAAAGAAGAGTAATTAAAATGAAAATAGTTACTAATAGAAAAGTAAATTTATAGTTTCAGATTTTCTTTAAATATCTAATAGTAATAATAGAGATAATGATATTGGTATACTTCTTTAGCTATATCTATAGTAATTATTTTTTATTTAGCATATTTTGATTATTAGATTATTTAGACTACTATCAAGAAAATTATATAAATAAAAATTATTGTATTTTCTAGAAAAAAAACTAGTAAATTGCATTTGTCAAATTACATAAATAAAGACAATAGGACTATTGAATCTTTTAGAAAAAAAATATGTAAATTGAGATTATTAAATTTTATAGTTTTATATTATTTATTACAATTATTGCTATAAATTTTAGAAAAGCCTGATGCTTTTAGTAATATGATAAACATTCTCAAAGTTTGTTAATAGCTAGTACAAAGGTCAAATATATTGCCAATAGCAAATAAAATATATAATGCTATATATATATCATTAGATTTATAATTATTATAGTTTTTTAGCCTGAAATATTAAATAATATTGATGATAATAAAGAGTTGTTTTTTTTTAAATTATATTTTAAATTACTTAACTGCTTATACTAAATAAAAATTAAAATTTTTATAACTGTTATATAGAAGCTTGCCCAACTTTGATATAAAAAAATAAAGTATCTTTTTAAAATATAGAAATCTATTAGCTGAAGCTATTGAAAAGTTTATAACAAAAATTTTTAATTATAAACTTTATAGCAATGAGAGTGTAAAAATTATTTGCTATTCAAAGTGTGTATTAATAGACTTCTAAAGTAAATTTAATCAAAGAATAGCTACACTGGTTGTTAAATTTAATAATAAAAGATCTAGAAAGAAACAAATATCAGCATTATCAAGAAATAATATTAATAAATTTATAACTTATGAGATTACAGAAAAAGTATTAAAAAGATATTTAAGTAGTACTAATATAGAAAAACTCAATAAATATAGAACTATAGATCAACTTACAAAATTAACTAAAGAAGTATTTAAAATATGCTTTAATGCTTATGGTACAAAAACTATTAAAAAACTTGACTATCTTACTATTAATTGTAAAATTTCTAGTAGATCTGAAAAAAATATAACATTATAACTTATGCTAAACAATAGTAATAATCAAGCCAAAAATACATAAAATTTTTAGAATAACTTAATTATTGCAAATATTAGAAATATGTAATTAAAAAAGAAATAATCTATTTGTAACAACCTGTTATATAACAACCTGTTAATGTTAGGATTAGGTTTAGAGTTAGTATTAGGTTTAGGGTTAGAGTTAGTATTAGTGTTAGTGTTAAGTAGATTTAAAATTAATATCAAGATGAGGAACTGTCAAAAATTTGGATCCAAATTTTGGTCTCAAATTATAAAATTTTTAAATTTTAGTATCTAACACAAAATTTTTTCAAATTTTGGCCCACAATTATCCAAATGATATCTAAATTTTGGTCGATTTTGGAATTCATATAATCTGGGACTAATTAGAGAATGTATAATATCATATAATAGTCTATTATAATTTATAAATTGTTTAATAGTTTATTTTTTGAACACATACATACAATATTTTTTTTTTGAACATATTTGACATGTAGTTGTTCTTTTAAACATATATATTATATATAAAAGTTATGTTGAACATACACAAATAAAAAAAAAAATAAGCTCTACTAAAAAAACTACCACCTATAGCTATGCACAAGAGTTTTCAGAGCACTTTATTTTTGATTCCGGGAAGCTTATGTGTCACTTTTGTAATCACAGTATCAACTATGAAAACAAGGCCTTTGTCAAGTTCCAAAAGCTATTAAAAAAAATGTGAAGCATATTTAAAATCACCAAACCAAACCCAACAACTATGTCACCCTCCATCTTTGACAGTGGCTAATAAAAAAAAAGAAATTTTTTGTGATCTTGTTAAAGCCTGGGCTAAGGCTGATATACCACTAGAAAAGCTTAACAAGTTCTGTGGATTTTTAAATACATACTGCAAAGAGGGTGGCTTTATATCTGCTACTAATACTTTACATCAAACATACTTACCAAAGGTTTTTGAAAACCATTTAGAAGGCTTGCACCATATATTTAGTGACAAACCTGTGATAATTATAATTGATGAAATGACAGACATTAAAGGCTGTAGTGTAGCCAATACATTATTTTTATATAATAGAATAACTAAACTTATATCCGTTGATTTTTTGCAAACTGTTAATTACTCAACTATGGGGGTCTTATTTTGCAGCTTTTAGCAGAATAGAATATTTCTTTTACTCTTTTTAAAGTAATTGTTTCTGATTCGGCTTCTATATGAAAAAATATTTTCGTGAAGCTTTAAGTCCTATTATGGTACAATTAAAACATAATACTTGTTCAGCCCATATAATGAATTTAATTGGGTAAATTAATTATACATATAAATTTATTTATTTTTATGTTATATAAAACACATATTTGCTAATTTAAACGCATATATAATTCTAATTCACCTTTAATAAAACTCAATCTTATTTTTAATTCTAATCCTTAAACCGACCCTATTTTTAACTAAAAATCATTCCTAACTTTAAATTCAATTCCATCTCTATCCAGTGCTACTTATTTTATTAACAATTACATTATTACTTTGTGTACACCCACTTCATAGACAATCACCTCATGGTCAATCACCTCGTAGACAACCACCTCATAAACAACCACCTCGAAGACACCACTTCATAAATAATTATATCATAGACACTTACACTTTGTAGCACACAGCACCAGACCGAGCTATATTAATCATGGGTCAAAAATATCTAAATGCGGTTAATATAGTTAAAGGATTAAGAGGAATTTAAGCTCATACCTGCTCCACAGATAATTAGTTCATAGACAAGTTTATTTTATAGACAGACAATTAACAATAAACTATGAAATAAACTTGTCTGCGTATTAATTGTCTATAAAATGAACTTGCATATGAATTAGTTATCTATAATTATTAAGTAATTGTCAGTAAAATGATACGGATTATTTTCCTCATTCTGATCCAATATAACACACATCATGTTTGAAAAAAAATCAGTGTTATTTTTGCAGACTGCATTGAAAACTCTTTTCCGCCTCCTGATATAAGATTATTAAAGCACAAGGAGATCAGCATGGTTTCTTCCAAAGTGTATCTGAATGCTTTTTTTTCCTTTTGATCCGACGTGTTACTATTAAAACCGCGAACAAAGTTGGCATGGTGTTGCAACTTGCATTAACTAACGCCTTTCTTTCTTCTAATCCAAGATGGTTAGCGTGATGTTCTTGCAAAATGCATTCGGTAAACTGACGCCAAAAATGATAATAGCTAGAACAACAGAATTTACATCTATGAAAACTCCAGTAACTCGATGACACAGAACCACCCTAATCGAAGAAATCTATATCCACAAGAAAACCCAACGATAAAACTGGAAATAAAAACACCTAAAACTCCAATAACGCAACAACACGGAACCACTCTAAGTGCTGAATCCACAAAATCACCTAAACGATGGTGCCAAAAAACGATTATACCTCGATCAACAACATTGTACTGACAAAGCCTCTGGTAAAGTTATGCCATGAAACCACCCAAATGATGGAATCCATATTTGTATGGCACCTAAATGATGTCGAAAACGACATTACTAACATGGCGATCCAGAACTGCTTCAACAACGGCAACTCCAGCAACGACGGCACCTATGCTATAAAAAAATATATATATTGTCATATTACACGGGATGTGAGTACAAAAATTTTAATATACTCTGCGTGTCATAGGATGACATTCATATAATTGGTTAATTTTTGTAACTAATCAAATACATGATTTTTAATTATTAAAATATTAGAAAACGAAAGAAACTTCGCATAAAGAAGCTTACAAACTAATAAATACACGCAAAAGAATTTATTATTCATATGTAGAGAATAGATAGATACGCGTAAAGCGGATAAATATGGTATTTATTACTAATAAACCCAAACTATTAAAGAATCTACCATATAAAAGATAAAATATAAATTAAAACTTTGACTATTAATTTTCGGTTGACAAGCTCAAACACACTACAAGAACCGACCAAATTTAAATATTAAACCCAGATCTTCTTTGTTAAAGAGCTTGAACCTATTGAAACTAAACAGTTAAAAATAAAAATTTATTTAAATCTAACGTAATAAAATAGTTTTAGACGAAAACGTTTCTGGTTACTTTCACTCTATGATATGGTCCAATAAGCGGTAGGCATATTTTGCCTTCTAAGTAAAGTTCGTGGGGATACTGATTATTACTGATTAT